AGTACGACAAATCGGATACCCTACCGCCTGGCAGTTTCCCGCCATTTTACCACGCGATTCCACCCGGCGCGGTGTTCGTACCACCGCCGAGCAATCACTCGGATTACGACGAGGAGGATCAATCCATTTACTATCCACCGCCGTACAGTTTCCAGTACCAACGAGACAACAATACGACAGCGGTGCCGCCAGGTCCCCTCGTCCCAGGAATCATTCTCCCACCCCCGCCAGACTTCTTCTCCGCTCTCGAAGAGAAGAAGACGCCGCTCACGACGACGACGACGACGACGACAACGAAGAAGTACACGAAACGACCGGGAACGACTCCCGTGCCAAGACCCAGGCCTACCTATCTACCGCCGAGGAAACTCATCACGAAGCAACAATACAAGAGTCCCATCACCACTACGAAGCCAGACCTGTCCCAAGCCTCGAAACCCAGACCATCGGCCATTGTCATTACGTCAGGCGTTACGAAAACAGCGTACAAAAATTTGACGAGCAAAAGCCTCGCTGCTGCTACTGGCAAGCCAAGCGTGAGAACGATTCCGTACGTAGAGGTTACGACGACATCGTTGCCCGATAAATCGGCCACGCTCGATAACGGGCCAGACCATGTCTACAAAGTCGGCCAGTTAACGAAGAATCAAGTGACCACACACAGAGAGAAGGATGAAGCTTGGTCGGGTCTAGTGACCAGTAAAACGATTCCGATAGTGGCCACGTACTACGCCACGTCAACGCAGTCCACCTTGGAGAGGCCTGTGGAGGTGACGCCGGCCTCGATAAAGAGTATCATTACTACCAGCAATCCGGAACGATCGCCCAGCCAGGCTTCGTACTACTTTTACGAGGAATCCGACGAGCCTCCCCTTCGCACGACTCCGTCGAGTCCGTCGTCGATTTACGATTACAAAACTACCACGGAGTCGCCTTTCTACGAGACAGTGGCAGAACCGCGGACGCCAGGGGAGAAGAGGAAACAGTATTACAGCGTGGAGACAGTCCCGTCGCGGGATACGTCGAAGGACTACAGTATTAAGTTTATCGGCTCGCCGGTGAAAAACTCCGGGCCCGTTCGTTACAGCGACTCGACGGTCACGCAAAGTTCGTCCAAGTACGAGAGCGGGGACTCGGCGAGAACTCAGGGTCAACATATGTTACCCGATCACGCGCCTCTTTACTATCAGGCCATATCTGTTCGTCCGGTGGTGCCGGTGCAGTCCTATTACACCACCTCGAAGCCGCAGCCCCCCACCTATTACCGGCAAGAGGCGAAATCGAAGCCGATCTACCAGTACAGCTTCGAGGCGACGGAATACTCGAAGCAACAGCGAGCCAACAGCGAGTTCAACGAGTATCAGAACGTCAGAGACGACGAGAGGTACGGTAATCATCGATACGATTACGAGAACGAATCTCGTGTGCCTCAGAAGAGGGTCAGACCGCAACAACCGTACAAGAGTCAGCAACCGACGATCTATCCTTCGACGACAGCGCATCCGGCGGTAAGCACGACCGACAATCCTCAGCACGCTTACTACACGCAACAGGACGAGAAGTTCCTGGACGACGTGACGAAGGAATATTTCACCATCTTCGGTAAGAAGATACCGCACAAGGGTATTATACCGAGCACGACTCCTATATACTCCAAGTCGAACAGCATCACCGAAAGGCCGGATGATTACAACGTGAACACGTACGTGCAGAGTTACAACACTCGAGAGCCACCTGTGTACAAAACGCCTAACGTCAAGGTGCACTACGGCGACCAATCTCAGAGGCCGTACTCCCTCAAAGACGACATCCTTGTCAACTACAGACAGCCTCTACCTCCCATCAATCCCGACAGCGAGTTCATCACGGTGGTCGATCCGAACCAGCAACAGCCACCCGACTACAGGATACCCAACGACAGGCAGGACCAACCATCCCTGGCACCGATCCGCGCCTATCCATCCCAGCCATTGGTGAATCCACGGAACGGCCCACCCACGAACTACGTGCCGGTCGTAGAGTCTGCGGAAGAATTGGACGACGCGTACCCTCAACTACCGATATCGCTGGAAGATGACATCAGAGTGAACTACCGCGACCCACGGCCTACCATCAACCCGGACGCGGAATTCATCGATCCACCAATCCCGGTGCACGAGAACCGAAATCCGGAGAAGCCGAAGGCCTATTTCGCGTACAGGCTGCCAGGCGACGGCGGCCACTTTTACTTCCTAACGCCACAAGCGATCGCGCAGAGATCCCCAGAACAAACCGGCGGCCACCTATTCCCGAGATCCAGAGGCGCCAGACAACTGCTGAGACGTCGACGGAGGCCAGGCAACGTGTGACACCACGTACGTGACGAGGTAGCCGCGCAACGCCATACGGAATCATCGAGGACGCACGATGGAAATGCGTGTCATATGGAACGCGACGCGACAATCGATGACGGAATACCGTTCTGTACCGTTATGCTAGAATATTTATTTTATTACGAGTAAATATATATATATATATATATATATATATATATATGATATACATATATATATGTATAAGTATATATATCTTGTACGCGTAACGTATGATTAAGTTGGATGATGTTTATCAACGCCTCATTTACGCTGCGTAGAATGCTTAATTTATGCGACTTAACTTTTTCCTGCCCTGCTTCCTCCCCAATCTTGCTTTAGATTGATACGGATGCTATGTTGTGTGTATCGACGATAGGTATGCGCGGGACTTTTGATCGACCGTTCGTACTCGCGCGTTGTCTGTGATTAATGATCGATCGCGTATCCTGTACATATATAGTTATTACTGACGACGTAGAGATTCAATTGTAGAATTCCGAGCGTATTTTTATAATTAACGTTATATACCCGAAAATATGTTACATCTGACCGCACATGCATGGAATAAAACACTGTTAATAAAAAAGGCAACATTTCCCGTACCTTGTCCGAAAACACTTCAAACACGGTGTGCAAATTTGATTGATCTGTGTCATTTGTTGTACGAGACTCTACGAATTTTGAATTATTCGATAAATTTATTGTAAATGTATATATGTGATGCGAGTCTTAATAAATAGTATACTATTATCGGTATGTAGGATCAAACTAAAATGTAACGTATCCTTTTCAAACAATACGTGCCTTCCAACTGACAGTGGCAAATGATCTTTGAAAAATCGAAATGTTTATAAAGTTACGAATAAAATGAACGTTTCAAGATCTGAACGATTCGAAGCAACATTTCACGAGCCTCTCGCTAGAAGTTACAATAAAGAATAAGCAAACACGCACGGGCATTGTATTCTTAATCACTATTTCATATGTATTAAATATAGACAACTCGACGACAATTAGTAGCTGACTGATAAAAATAACCAATAGACGAAGGCATGTAGACTTACCGGTGTCGATTTCCTGCGCTTGCGTCGGATCTGGTAATGGTTCATCGTGTAGTCGTAAATAAACCTCCACTGCACATTTTGCTGCTTTAAAATAAAATGGATGAGCCCGTAACACATCCTCTAACCTTAGGAGACCCACGTAGGACCTCAAAGTCATCTTTCTCATACAATAGGTATGAAAGTCAAATTGATCTTCTATGATTTCAGAAAAATGCTGAAAAAAATCAATGGGATTTATTTAAGGACAGTTAATAAGGTATTTGTTACTTGCAAATATATGTTGTTGAAATCTACCCTGTCAACTTCATGGCATTTCTTTAACGCTTCCCCGTATTTTCCAAGACGTTTGTAAGCGTTAGCGGCTTCTGTCTGAATCCACATACATTGCATTTCATTTAGGTTTTCCATTGCTAGAACTCCTTCTCTGGTAAACTTGCCACAAGTCTCTTCCGCTTCCTTGATCAGATTTGCACGCAACATATACTTGGCACATTTGGAATTGATATACCTATCGGCTGTGTCCAATCCTTGTGCTTCGTCTAACCACTTATAAGCCTCTTGGACATTGCCAGCATGCTAAGGGTAAAATACGATTGCATTATTAAAGAAATATACACATTACAAACATTGAAAACTCACCTTATAAATGCGACCTTTGGTAACAAAAAGTTCTATAAGCGTAGGCGTGTGTTCTATGGCAGCATCAATTTCGTTTAACGCTTTCTCTGTAAGTCCAAGGTGATCGTAATGTTGTGCTAAGTAATAATAAGTCCATAACAGTGCCGAAGCTGGTTCTCGCGGGTTATCTTTCTCTTGATCACTAAAATGCCCATGAGCTTTTAACGCCTCCTTATATTCCAAAACCAAAGACTGTATAGTGTCAACTTTCTGTTGATCGTTATATAAGGAACGAAGATTTACAAACAGGGGTGGTACACCTTTATGAAGACCTGCAGTGTAAATAGAATATATAGGTCAACGATTTAAATTCTTTGTAAAAATATTATCAATAAACCGTACCTCTTCGTAAGTACCGGTCTACTAATATCTTAAATTCATCGCCTATAGCATAATTTAATTGTAAGCGACGCGGCGCTAGCGCTCGAGGAAACAAGTCTTCGTATCTTTGGAGCATAGCTAATGTTTCTTCAGGTTTAGTGTGTCTTTCAGCCTCTGCTAGCCTAGCATAATAAGTTGTATTTTCAGGATTTATATTTAAAAGTTCCTTGTAAACCTGAACTGCTTCTGCATATTGTTTTAATTGTAATCTTAATTTACCTGTTAGAAATTAGAAATGTACACTGTTATAAAATATTTAGTTTTTATAATTAGATTATGGAAAATTTATGCAATATACCATATGTTTCTTTTACAGTAACTTTATCACAAATTTGATCACTATACTTGTCAAGATGTTTCAATGCTTGTTCACATTCTCCTGATTCTTGGATAACCATGTTTTGATACAATAGCAATTCACTATGCTCGTAATCATAACAAATCTGCAGATTTTAAAAATGTCTGTATGTCCTGTATTATATATTGTAACATGCAAACTTGTGTCATTAATATTTAAAAAACTAATAAAAATTTAGTTTATTTAATGTAATATTTTTCTTTATATATAATGGCAAATTACATAATACTGAAGGACATACCATTGGGGAATTTCGAAACGTATCTAAAATTTTAAGTGCTGTTTCATAGTCCTTTAATAAATGATATGAGATAGCAAAACCAATCCATGAAGCACGCTGTGTAGGACGTAACATAAATAACTGATACCTTGTATCCTAAAACAAACATAAATGTTATCGTCAAATATAAATTAGGTTAGTAATGTAATTGATGGAAAACAGGTATGATGATAAAACAAATTGCATGTAAACAATAAATAGATCCTTTGTAGGAATAAGATTAAACATTTACCTTATAGCCCTCCAGATCCCTCATTTGAATTTGAAGCAACGATAAGTCCCTAAGAATTTGAATGTTATCCTTGTCCCATTTAAGAGCATTTCTATAACATTTGATGGCTTCATCATATTTCTTATCCGAGCGTTGTAGAAGTCCGTAAACGTGCCAGCAAACATGTGACTGTAAATCATTCCTGAGACCCCTCCGGACATGATCATATGCTTCTTCTTTGCGACCTAAGCAGTTCAGAGTGAGACCTTTCATTGCCAAGGTCTCTCCATGTTCACTAAATTTTGGGTTTGATAAAATTTGCTTTGCAAACTTTATCCCATTTTTATATTGTTTATGTTCGTAACACCTCTGCAAGAAACATAAATACGTTTCATAGGACAAAACGTTTTCATGATTTCAATGCTACGTATTTGAACAAACTGGCATTATAAGGTATTGCAAAAAATAAACAAAAAATCATGTTTTCATTCATAAGACTGGTAAAACCTCTGTGACCCGTGATTGCCAGTGAATTTTTTGCATTTTTTCGAAGAGTGCTTCATCATTAGAATACTTCTATTAGCCGGAGTGGGGTCCAAAACAGAGTATTTCGATTGCATATTACTTACCAGAATTCGTTTAAACAAGGCATTTTCTTTGGGTGGCAAGGGATTACTGGAGGGCATTTTTGCATAAATACAAAAATATTGGGCCTTTTCCACCCGGTAAACTTAATTTTCACCACAAAACCTCGTGGCCACAAACGAAGAAGTCGATCTTCGATCACGTGATCATCTGCGACAATGCTGTTCCGCCGGAAGTTCTACAACCACGGTGCCATACACTTTAATATACTTTATGGCTTTTACAAATTTACTAGCAATAATAATACGTTCTACGCGTATGTTCGCGCTTATATTCCGTTCGTTTCGCTGCGTTCGATGATTTTACCTTTTTCAGTATTGCATGGAATACGTATTTCTAAGTAATGATAACTAACAATGCTTAAGTAGCATTTCTATGAAGCCAGAAAGGTTATGTAGAATGTGATATCAGTCGAATGAAAACTTCAGCATTGTAACGTGCATAACAAGATCGTTTTTTAAATATATTTTATATGAATTTTATAAATATTTGGAATTATTTATATTTTCCCGGATTGTTGGTAATATTAAGCTTCATTTACAAATTTTTTACTTCACGATTGGTCTGTTTCTGAAAACGAACCTTGTCTTTCGTATAATCACATGAATTTTAGACGGGAGGGTTTGTAAGTCTTTCAAACTAATATAAAGTACAAAACATGAAAGACAAAGATATAAAAAATTTATAATATCATTTTTAAATGTAATTAAATATAAATATATAAAAATAATAATTTTACATAATAAAGGTATGATTTGATATCTTATTGTACAGTTACAATTGCATTAAAGGTTATGAAAATAGTGTCGCCGGATATTAAGTTACAAGTTATTTAGCAAATTATGCTAATTGTATAGGTATTAAATTTTATATGAATAAAATATGTCGGTAATATATAGAAAATTGTGCTCTTCTATTTTGTCTGAGCATTTTGGTCAAATTGTACAGTGTGTGGCTGAAGATTTATTTAAACATGGTTCAAGACCAGTAGAACTAATTTCTTATACAACGCATCTTCCTTTAACAAAGGTATAAATTAAACTAACTTAATCTATTAGTTTACATTAATTTTTAACAGTCTTTATAATTTATTTATTTATAATACTCTCATTTTGCTATGACTAATATATAATATTGTTTTTAGATTAAAGAAGCATTATGTGTTTTAATGAAACATGGTTTTGTTGTATACAGTCGAACAGAAAAGGGAATGGAATATTCTTTAATTCACGAAAATATTTTACTTATTCTCCGTTATCCAAAGTAATATATATTTCATGCGATACAAATAAATGAATATAAAAGAATTTTATTCATTAGATGTTTTAATTCTAATAGGTATATGTTCTTTGTAAAAACAATGTGTGGCGATGAATCTGAAATGATTTTAGAAGAAGTATTTATGCATGGATATATAACGGCTTCAGAAGTAATTACAAAAACATATAAAAAAATTGAGCAGTCACCTTGTATGTAAATTTATAGTTTGAAATTTTTACTTGAAAGTTCTATTGTTAACTATTTATTTATATTTTTAGCTGATCTGCAACCATCAGTTCCAGTTTTGAAGGAAAAATTTGAGTTACTTGTCAAAAACCAATTTTTAACACGTAGCTTACGTTCAGACGCAGTTGAAGAGAAAACAAATAGAAAACCTGATTTTACATTACCAAATTTGAATGTAACTGCTATTATTAAGAAAATAGAAGGTGATAACAATAGCGATCCTGGAGATAGTAAAATTTATTGGAAAGTTAATTTTGACCGCCTCATTCAAGACCTTAGGTGAGATTTTCAGAAAGTATTGTGAACATATAAGACACATAAGAAATTTGCAATGTAATGTATAGGGATCAAATTATTGTATCAGCTATAAGCAGACGGCTGGATGAAAATGCAGGAGAGTTAATGAGGCAATTATTATTTCTTATGTATCTACGGACAGCATCATGGGCACATACATCCAATCCAATACCTCTTACAGAAATAAAGGAAGCAGTTAAAAAAATCAATTATCCGTTACTTACACATCATCTTGATCAATATTTACATCTTATTGGTATGAACAACAAATTTATATAAAAAGTTTTGCAAAGTATTTGAATATTGCAAAAGACCATTGCATGAGACTAACTAAATATATCACTCCAGAGGAAGATTCTAGTCAATTTTTGAAACGAGTTGGAGATTCAGGAGGTGGCCAATATAGTGTTAATATGAAGGAGGCGTTTAAACAGTTAGCATGGGCAACATTAGAAAACATTGTAATGGAGAGGTTTGGTTCAAAAGCAGCTAGAATATTTAGGTAGGATACGGATTAATACGATTTTAATATCGATTAATTTCAATATTTTCATTTTAATTTCAATACTTCCAGATTAGTGCGTGAGAAAAAGTACATTGAACAGGAACAAATTCAGCAATTAGCGATGATCCCAGCAAAAGAAGCGAAGCATCTAACGTACACTTTATTACAAGAGAATTATCTACAAATACAGGAATTGAAGAAATCTGGAGTATCAGCTACACCGATAAAAACATTCTTTTTGTTTCACATTGATTTAAATTTGGTTGCTTACATGGAGGTGGAACATTGTTACCATGCACTGTACAATATTATGCAAAGACGAGAGTATGAAGTAAGCAGCAATAAGCGGATGATCGATAAACAATTGCGAATGCAAACTCTGACAACTAATTTGAAAGAACACGGTGCTACCGAAGAGCAATTGGCAGAGGTGCATATCATACTCGTTATTATATTATTTGTAATTGTTCAATAACAAAATAACTACAGTCAAATTGTTACAGATTGCAGACTTGATGACACCGTCTGAGAAACAACAATTAGAAAAAGTTCAAAACACAATTAAGAAATTGGGTATTACCGAATTGCAAATTGATGACACTCTATTCTTATTAACGATGTATTTACGTTATCACTATCAATAAAGGCATATTTTTTTTAAATGTGTCAAATTTTCATAAATGCCAGCGGCGCAGTTCATTTTCACTCTCCACGAAAGAACAAAATACATGAAATTTCATTCATTTATATAGGTATTTATTTATATATAATAATGGTTACGCTTGTAAAATACAAACAACAAAGAATACCTAACTTTCAAATTATTGTAATAAATATAATCATATATCTATGTTTATAATAGTGCTGCTCTCTATGTGATACAGTGCCTTTGACGTCACTATCAATCAGGGAAAATAATCTTGGAGTACACACCTTTAAATGTTCTATCATTGACAAACACTTCGTGTAATTATACCTTTTGATCTATGCGATATGAATGTATGTTAGTTGATTAGAAAGAAATTATTAGAGTTATGAATCACAGCCAGCTCAAGGTGCCTTATGGATCAGTAAATAAGTTGAACGCTGCAAATACTATTTATAATTAGCTAGAACTTAATTCCATTACGGTATGTACGCAAAGACTGGAGACCATCGTGTTTGGTGTGTCACTAATATCGTACGTTTTGCTTCCAAGTATGATTTTCCCTTAATTCCTATTATATGCTGTGTACGTTCATCTCAACACTACCGCGATGAAACGAACCATTCCGTTGCAAATATTTATCAGTCATGAAAATTTAAAGCACGTAATGTTAACGGTGAAGATTCACCGATCTTAAATATATATATATATATTTTTTTTTTTTTT